TTATCTTGTTCATACGACGTTAAATTTACCCAGTAAGTCATTCATTTGATACATACCATTTTTGTGCTAAAAATGTTTGAATAGGTGAAAGGTGCGCCGTTCATTCAGTAAATACCAGATTATATTATTCATTCGAGGTTGGTAGGACATCGTAAGTTATACGATTCGACAACATAATGAAGCGAAATTGCTCTGTATTTCCAAATATGCGGAGGTTCGCATTCGCATCTATAACGGTAAACGATACTGTTACTTTCTTAGCTGAGTACCGAATTTTCCGAAAAAATAGACGGAAAAGTGTTTTTGTGACTTACCACTAACTGTAAAGTTTCGAACAAAATATTGGATTCCATTGTAATGGATTTCGAAGTACTGGAAATCGATAAGTCTATTACTTGCAAGGAAAAGCGATATTTTTCTTAACAACAATCACCCCAATAGCAATGATTCAGCAAAACAATCCAGGTCCAAAAAATGCCGCGAGTCCAACGAATTCTAGTTACCGTCATACATACTATAGTAGCTATATTGTGACAATAGAGCTTAAAGTTGGGCTAGGTTGTAGAAACAAAAATTCGCTTTCGTTTTCAAATATCAGACCAATTTTGTTCGAAAAAAAATTCCGCTCTGACTTCAAAGAAATCAGAAAATATCAGATCTTATTCATATAATTAGATTAAGTACGGAATGACCCACTTGGACGTTTACATATCGAATCATAATATCCGATCATATATGTATATGGAACAATGTTGATTTGATATTTGTAAATTTTTGTTAATATCAAATTCTATTCCCGTTAGGTGGGACTGTTTAGTCTTAAAAAGCTTGACTCAACGCTTACCACTTTTCACGTCTATTTCTCTTTGAAAAGATTAAACACCAAATTTGAAATCGCTAGATTTTACGTTTGTATCCACTTTTGTGGCCTTCAAATGATACGTTTGACGTCCATAAATTTTATGACAATATTTTAGTTATAAGCGTTTTAATATTAACCACTTAATGCCGGAATTATGATCCGCTGAGAGAAAAAAATCGCCGCTTCGGTTATTTGCTAATTCAAGGCCGTAGAATACGAATTTAAACTTATTTTTTTTCTCTTACCCCCCATTTGGGAGAAAATTTTTTGTCACGAAATCGATACACTCGTCCACGTGATGAATTTATTGTGTCGATACTCACACGTATTGCGTATGATACAAATGGAAATATAACAAATTCAATTCAAAATAAACGAAACCGGACGACCGAAAATGGTCAGTAGACCGTACTGTTGGTCATTAATATACGCCATGGTACCACGCAAAGAAATTTTTGGCTTTGTTTAAGCATAAATATACTCCGCATTTGATACATCTGATTACCGACTTGCTATCACACCCAGGGAAACGGCATCGCTGTTTCTTAGCTTCTACCACAGGCCAATGGCCGGTGGCGTCGGTTCTAATCTTATTGTTGGGGTGTGGTGGGGTAGTAGACAATGGCCTGCCTCGCTTAAGTGGAGTGGATGTTTTCCCAAGCTTGCAAAAAGATTCTGCCACAGAACGTCGAAACGATAAAAGATCTCGCTGCTTGTTACTCGCAACTCACAATCTCTTCTGTATAGGATCCAGCTGTTTACAATAGCCAAATCAACCAGGTGGAAAAAGATCCTCAGGTAGTACCTTTTTGACCGAATGCGTATTCTATAGTAGGCTATAGGCGCATCTAACAAGTCTATGCCTCCCATGATACGGTTATAAAAATCTACCCTAAAAGAACGAGTAACCATTATGTGCTGTTTCGTGACGTTGTTTCATCTTCGAACTTCTGATGTCGGCATGGCGCTGGCAAACGAACTAGCAATATTTACACTTCGTTCATCATGCCATTTCACAACTCTTATTTCAGTGTCCTCAACGCGTGACGTCTTTTCCTGAAAACAACCTTCCTTTTTTCAAATTTTTGTCAGATTCCAGCTCGCATCCTGACAACCGATTTTGTCTCGCCGTCCCTATACAATAGATCTTCCTTTTGGCGAGAACGGACATCAAAGGTATGGACGTAAACCAATTGTCAAAACAGAGTATGTGATTTACATCATTCTCTACATTATCAGTCAGTTTATGACCATGTCAGCACTAGCTCCGAGATCAGGGTAACCAGACACGGGATGTATCTTGTAAGTTTTGTACCAAACCATCTGTTCCACTTAACATAAAGATTTTATACCCCCATTTGTGAGGCTTTTTGGGAAGATATTGTTTGAGCCCTGATCTCCCAGTAGACGGAACCATCTGCTCGTCGATACATAAAACTTGCTCTTGATGCAGTGGTTTGAAATTTGTTTTAAGCATTTCTAACGGGGGTCTGATTTTGAACAATCGAACTTGTTAAACATCAGAATTGCCATGAAGTAAATCGTTGTTATTGAAATGGAGCATCTTTTTTATGTTTTCCCATCGACCACGGGTCATTACATCGGCAACGCAGTTAACCTCTGTTTCCACAGCCCAAAACATACGTGTTCTCGGTTGACGAAAAATAGACATGTGAACGACACAACCAAGAAACTTCTCCATTTTCTGAATTGTAGGGTTTAGTTGTTTGGAGGGATCGCTTTGGCTCGCATAGATATTGGTTTCCGCAACTATATGGTGCATTACATCCGAGTCAAAAAAATATTTGAAATATTCAATTGGTGCTCGCACTGTTTCCGATTTATACTCACGACTTTTCCATGCAGGCAGTTCTCGTGCTGATTCTGGGTCACTTTCCTGTGCAATTCTCCATATGGGCTTTCTACGTGGGATATTGATACCAATACACACCTCGACTTCAACAACGGAAGAAACTGACCTCACGCCTGACCCTCTTGCTTCCTGATCACTTTCTCCTCTCTGGTCGATGGATATATCTTGACTAACTGCTTCGTCATCTGAACATTCTGACAACAAGTCATAGTCTCTAATCGTTTCCGGTGGTACATATTCATCTTCTGTACTGCTGCAGACTGCAGTCACTGTCTTCGCTAACATTCCCACTAGGTGGAAAGCGGATTCTCCAAGTCTCCTTCTCATCCATTTTTCACTATTTGAATAAATTACTTCTACCACTGAACTATTTGAAGAAATTCCTGCACATTACTTTAGCCAGTCAATATCAGAAGCAAAACTTGATCAAAATATTAACAGGTTTAGAGGGAAAAGACATTTTTTTAACTAATTAAACATCACTATATATAAATTTATATAAACAGAGTTACACATACTCAAAACATATTAGATTATGTTCCTATTTCTGCTCTTTACTTTCAAGTGTCTTGCTTTGTGAAAGACAACTTAAACTGGAAAACATGGACGGATGGGACGATTTAGTGACAGTTGGAAAAACTGGCGTCAGTAGTAAACAACAAATTGTTCGGCAAAAATCTTTTTACCAAATGAAAGTACACATAAAGGCCTCTTACTGTGATTTTTTTCGACTCTCTGATGTAAAGCTTTATGCCCCAAAAAAGACGACAAAATCCCACTGCTACCGACACCACATTTTAACCGACATCAATGTAAACAAAGATGGCTGACCACAAAATATGAAACATTTGGTGGCGCCAAATAGGCTCAAACGAGAGAGTGGGTACAGACGATTTCGGGACAATCGCCGCTTTCTCTCTAGCTATCTTGGTTCGTACTATGGGATGCAATAAAGTCAATGTCCCGAAAACGACCCCGTCGTCGTTAAGTGGTTAAGAGAGCAATGCTCAAATAATGGACACGAAAGTCAAACCGGAATTTTTTACCCACAATTTTCCCCGGAATCATAACCTGAATGAAGCTGGAGCTTGACTGTTAAACAGGTACCGTACCTTACCTGTACCCGGGACTGTCTGGCCGTTTTCCCAGGTTCTGTGACGATGGTGATCATACGTCCAGACTTAATGTCAATCGAAATACCAAATGATTCGACTCACAACTGTGGTATCAAACCGTTACCGTTATATTACCAGGGCCAATCTCCAGCTCATCAAAAACCCTCGTCTTCACTAAGCAAGAAATCGGTGACATGTGGTCGTAGAACCACTACAGGTATTTTATTCTCAATAGGGTCACCACTCACCACACAAAACTTCGAAGTAAAAAACGAATTCGATTGGGCCTACAGAAATTTTTGAAATACATAAAATTAATAGTTTCTAGCATCAACGACAATCTTAAACCACTGAGAAAATATTGTCCAGTAGTTAAAAAAAGCGATATTTTCGCAACAACAACAACAAAAATAAGAAGAATTGAAATAATAAAAACAACAACATAATAACTAAATGATCTTACCCATGCGTCCACTTGGTGTCCAATTAGCCATTGGCACACCGTTTGTCAAGACTTCGCATGCTCAGGACGGTTTTAAAAAACTATAGTACAATGCTGCTTATTTTTAGGTACTGGAAAGGGAATTTGGTTAAGCATTTATTTGTTTTGGTTCCCGGATAAATACTGCTAAATATTTTAAAAGAACACAACAACATCCTTCTCTCCACAACCAGTTAAAAAGAAATTTCAGACCAGTCGGTCAGAAGATCAGAAAAGGTGCCATTGCCAATCTCAATCTCTATTTTGCTGTGGTAAAATGATGAGCTATAGCGCTACCACATCTGAAAAATACGGGAAATATTTAATATGATAGGTCCGAACTGCAGATCTTTTGAACGGTATTTCTGTAAAATTTGTAATAGTTCGATCAGGTTCTATGCTCTTTTGATCTACCTCCGAAAATGCCAAAGCGTCGGCGGTCGCCTGCGACTCTATAAATATATTTTTTCATCTTCAGATTGGGATTTACAATAAAGGGAAATATCACGACATCACCCAAGTACTGAATTACTGATTAAGAGACAACAGTGTACTAAGCTCTGACTCACTCCATCTATGCGCATAGTCTTTATAGAAAAGGGGCAACTAAATGTCTGATACGGCCTGAAAAACTACAGCGTCACCTATCATTATTCAGAGAAGTACAAGTTTACTTATCGAAAGTTCTTTTTATTGCGTATGCTTTTATTAATTTCGCACGACATGCAAAAAAAGAGAAAGGCATGTTTTTGTAATTCCTAAAAACTGAAATTGTTATTTGGTTTCAGTTCGAGCCAAAAACAATTTACTTGACGCAGTAAAATCTGATGGTAAAACAATTTAATGCTCGGGAATGGAAAATACAAAACCCAAAATATACACACGAGGTAGCACCGCTCAAAATTTGTTCCAAAATCAACAAAAAAATTCCCGCCTGTTGGAAGCCAAACAAAACGTTGTATCAGATTTGATTGGGCGATAGAGGCAAGGATACTGGCAAATTTTGATATTCTTTTAAAGCACCATAAAACTTGTGTTATTTTTGAAAATTTTCACAAACCATAACGTTGTAAAGTAAGGGCACATTATTATTGGAATGGGGTCAAAGCCGAACAAAGTACCATAATTTGGTGTTATTTATGACCAAACACGAGACTAACAAATAATAAATAGTAAATAAATAATCAACCAAACACGAAATATTTTACATAATATTATGCTCTAGTAACGTTGGCCGGCAACAAAAAGCATTCGATGTTAGTAATCAACAGGTTAAGAAATAAAGTCGATATGGGATAAAATAGCTCAAAAAAATCGACTGAATTTAACCCGTTGATTACCAACCATCGAGTGAGTATTACCAACAACATCAGATGGTAATATTAACAATACAATAATACAATAACACTAAAAATCATAAGTTAATAGAGACAAAAATAAATAGATAATCATGAAGGAAAGAGATGAAGCAAAATAGACAATGAACCAACCAGGGACAATTAAATGATATGTATTTTCATTTCACAACAAAGAAGATAAATATGGTTTAATATATTCAAAATGCATTGTTGGATCTTGATATTACGACTATATATATTTATATTTTGGTTACTGTTAGGGATTTTAACCAGTTTGGATCTCGAAATAATAGAACTACAGGTGATGCTAAATCTGTGGCCATATTCGACATTTAAATAAATAAAGATAACAATGATTCACATGCAAACACGCATTGACGGGACAGGACTTGAATAAATAAAGAATAAATAAATACCAAAAAAAAAACACAAGTAATAAGACAAAGAGAAAAATTACAGTTGTAAAATAGTAAGGAAGCGTACAGCACATAATAGACCAAAAAATAAATAAATACAAGCTTGTTTAAAACATAAAAATAACAACAAAGATAATATTAAAAGCAGAAAACATATAGCACGATATAGCACATTTCATGGGGGGAATCTGGGTATTCATTTTTTAAAGGTGAAATACGGCGAATAGAGTTCGGCCATTTGAAATTAAAATCCTAATTCGCTATCTGTCGAGGATCAATATCAAACCGCCGTTGCTCACAATTAATTAATTTCAGACAACGGTGTAGTTTGTCGGCGCAAAATTAGAATAAAGCAATAACTTACTAATAACGCATGGATTGATGTAATCCGGCGATGACTTTTAACTCAGATTTAACGGGATCGGTTTGTTGCATAACGACCTTTTGGTGGTAACGAATGCGCATTTGCGACTTTGGTGGCACCCGCAGTAGGCAGTACTACTACGGAAGTGCTTCAAAACAAATATTTAATGAATAAAACAATATCTGCGTCATAGCCGATTTCTGTACATATTGCATTGTTATTGGTCAATGCAGTTCTAACTCCCTGAAAGTTGATGATACCGTCCTGTTGAATATGCGTTTCCTGGATTCGGGTGTGTATATGTATCCGTACTCAGACTTTTGTAATAACAAAGTTTATAGCTTTCGTTTTCGTTCGACTTTGCGAACAGGCCAATTCTGGTTCTTTCGGCCATCGTGAGGTCGACGTAAGAGTTATTTCACTCTGAATTCAGATGACTTCTCCATCATGGCAATAAATAGTTGATATCATAAATAAATAAAATAAAAGAAGAACTGGTAAAACAGGTAATAAATAGCAGTGTGGGCAAAAGGTTCAAAATAAATCCGACTATGTCTTTATCATAAGCTTTCATTGCTCTCGGTGGCGCTATTGCCGTCTGAGCTTTCGGACGTCGTTCTGATGTGGTTACCACTGATTTCACAATGCCTCGAAATGAAATCCCCTTTGAGAACCCAGGGATGAATCATGATCTTTTCAACTGTGGGTCGATCTGATGGTCTCAATGACAGGCACATTTTGATAAGATTTTGACATTCTGAATTAAAAATTAAAATGAATTAATACATGTACAAACGAAATTAAGAAATAAACAAGATTAAATTGGTTAGAAATAAATAAACAGGAAGGAGTATTTCAGCGGTTTAGAAAATAATAAACTAGTCTATTTTAAGAGACGAAAAAGGTTTCCGCCGCTCGCCATCAAACTAAACGGAAAACAAATATCGTAGTTTACCGTTATTTAGCGTCGGTCGTTTCCTAGAATTGACTCTTATAGGTTTCACGAAAAACTTATTTAAAGAGAGTAGCGCTTGCTATAACGTTAAGCGAGTCGCGACAGCTGCCGCGTTATCGCAATTACGGATTCGCCGAATAAGTTGAGCGTCTGAACTCACATCTGGCAGTACAGCACATAAAAACGCTCAGCTGATTAAATTTACGTTCGCAAATTCCGCGTTTTCATATTTGTGGGGATTTTTAAATATATATACCTTTTTAATCAATAACATAAAGGGCAAAATACGTCAACACATTGTATTCGCGCGTATTTCCGCCACCTCATATTTCAACGAAATAATTAATTTGAAACAAATTTTTAGGATGTCATTGTTTCACAGTTAAATTTTTCCTGGAAGCAAACTGGATTTTACTAAGTCAACGGCGATTTCCGGTGGCTACACTATAATTTACATTCTGAATTACATAAAATCAGATATCGGATATGGTCACCAGGAACCCACAATTTACTACGATGAGAAAATTTAATAATGGCGTTAAGTTCAAAGGGCTGAACGCATCGAGTTACGAAAGCTGACCGCGTTGTGGCAGGTCCAAAATTAGTCATGTAATTTTATTAAAAAGCTGTGTGCGGAATACGGCGGGAGGTGTGCCTTGGTTAAAAAAAAATACCAAGACTAAAATTTGTGGTGTCATCGCGAATTGAGAAGTTTCACACATGCCCACAAAATATACGGCCGCAGTCAAAAAAGGAAAAGTAATTAAATAAAAGCAAGGTTAATTCCGTGACGATTAAAAAGTCAAGCTGCGGAGTGCGTCATTCCACGACGTGACGCATACTCACGGCCAATTTTCTATTCTTTTGGGCATTATGTAAAAGTAAATTTGGATAGTGACGCGTCGATAACATTTCACATTTCTTTCATTTCCGATTACAATTGAAAACATGCACCGTCATTCTCGGGTTTACATAAGATATCTTAAGTTACCATAATACGAAACTTTTGGCTAACAATAGCCCGTTTAATCGGGAATATCGGTCTTATCAAGTTTACACAGCGTCTGCCTATTTTGGTTACGCCACAATTACGGTAGCAATGATGACGATATTACTTTAATTGAACGCAAATTTTAATAAATTGGTAAATATAGTACGAAATCGCCAGTTGTAAGCTGTTTATAGCAGAAAGAGAACTTCGTCTCGACTCAGGACATGACGAGTCGCGTTTCTGAATTATTTATAGAAATGCGGACGTGTACATACATTGCCATAACGACATAAGCCAAATTCCAAAACGTTTGCCAAAGCTAACTTGAATACAGACATATCCGTGATAAGTTTTAACGATTATAGCGAAATGTCTTCCCACCAAAATATATAAAAAAGTAACAAAGAAATTCTTTTCGTCTTGTTGGCTTATTAAAATGTGATTAACGGTACTATTTTACAATAACTACTTTATAATAAAATAGTACCGTGTGACCTTGGATCAGTCGCATTGTGACGTCAGTTGTGACGTACGAAAAACAGATGCTAATTACGGGGATGTGCTTAAAATAGAAGAGGGCAAGCGACCCGACGTCGTGTGACCGTGCGTCATATGCTCTCTCCTACCATGTGTTGCGCAAAATATAGTACGAATAGACGACGCATGCTTTTGAATAATACAATAACAATAAATCTGGACGTAGTGACAATTACATTACAATTAGACTAATCTACATAATCGAAATACCATGAACAAAAGCTGTTAATTATAATACTGAGTCAAAGAGACAAAAAAAACGTTCATGATGTAAATTACCTGGTGAAATCGGCCTCGTGAATTGGACATCTGCTCTGATAATTTCTTCGTCTTTGTCGAATGGAATATCTCCGCAGACCATATCGTAGAGTAGTACGCCTAGCGACCAAACTGTGGCGGATCGTCCGTGGTAACGGTGACATCTGACCCACTCCGGCGGGCTGTATACCCTTGTACCTATAAAAACATGTAAATATTTCATATAACACAAAGTTTGCATTAGCGGTGGGTAGGTATGTGAAGACACATTCGATAAAAAGCATGGAATCATAATATTATGAAATTAGTAATACACTAAGCCTTGTTACAGGTGTTGCAGTTTGCTTAACGCAAAGTTATAAGCACCCACTCAATAGCTAGGAATCTCGCCTGCATGGGAAGTTGCTATTACAATGCAAGCATTGCTATAGTGACGAAGCTGTTTATAATTTCAATAGATATGTTGCAACATTCTTTCACTTTGTAAAAAGTTTAGCGCCTAAACCAACTAACTGGTTAACTGCGTTCAAGTTAATTTAAGTGAGTATCTGCGACCACTTGAAATCGCAATTGCGTATCGTTCGACTACATAAACAATTGTCGTCGCTAAAGCCATTATAGAATTTGAATCATAATGATTATAATAAAGACGCGTTTTGTTCATACCAAAATAGAACACTCATTTAAAAGTGGCTGCTAGATGAAAGAGCTGTTCAGCGCTCAGTTCTGCTCAAGTTGACGTGACCCCGACCGACTTTTTTGTACCGCGAGAAATAGCCCTCCCGCGCATACGAAAATTGAATTTTAGCTTGATCAACAATGTCTTTTTTCAAGAATTGCTGTGTTAAATTGATCTTTGTTGTTCAACATATTCATAATTTTCAACATTGGTGAAATGAATTTTAATTGTTACCGTTAATTATCACTGCTAACGACGTCAGAGTAATTAAACAAAGTAGATGCTAACCTACTTAATATTTGCTATAAACGCACAAATAAATTAAGATCATATTGTTGAGTATTAGTTTGCAATTTCGCCGTATTTCTCACATCAGAAAAACGTCCCACGGACGAAACATCCGGCATTACCGCGAATTGTGAACACATTTCAGTTGAATTGCGAAATTCAAATCGAGTGTCGATCGCAATCATCAAATGGTACTTATATCACGCAGTAGGACAAATGTAACACACCAACGATCCACACCCGGATACAGTTATCGATTTCCACTCCATCCGCGTCTCACTAAACACGTGACTAGCGACAAACGACGCCAGGTGAAATACCACCACTCATACTATTCCGTACAACTTGAAATTATATAACAAAAAAAATAAAAATAAAACATCTGTGATAATTCGGTACTAAATCGAGCAGAAGGGCGTGATAATTTAGGTTTGGTTTATTCTGGCAGACAAGGTTGATTAACTACATTAGGCAAATGGGCTTGGTAATAGACGCACTATACATCTACTACGCCTTTGAACAAAAGCTTGAGAATGTAGCGTGGTAGGTTCCGTTAACAACGCACTTACGCATTCGCTTAATAATAAAAGCAATAATAAATGTGTGAAAGGTTGGGCGTATTTGCGTCAAGGTGCGAGCTATTTAGATCAAATGGACCATAAGAGAAACGGAATTTAAAGAACGCGATTAATTTCAATGAACAATTTTTCCATCGAAAATCAAGGCGGTAGAGCTTGATAAAACGCTGCTTCATTATAGATTTATTGTCTAAATGGCACCTAAAATATCAGCTACCGCAATTAGCATATTGAAACAAGATTTAACGAGCGTTTCGGTATTATATAACCTCATATAACTCAAATGATTATTTAGACATAACGGTCACGACTAAAATAACGACGGCTTTTCCTAGTATCGGTAATTGCCCGAGAAATAAAACGCCTTTTGTGTTGAAAAGATCACAATGAACAGGATGTCACGGCGATTGGAAAACTCAGAACATCACGTTTCCATCACGTTTCCGAATACGTGTTACGTTTGCTACGAACATATCTACACTGACTAGACGGATAACTTGAAATATCTAAACAATTTTTGCGGCTTTCTAACAAGAAAAAACAATATAATTAAAATGTGTGTTAAATACGTTTCAATAAGCATAAGTATAACTATCTTGTCGGGCGCGATTTAAGCGAGAAATTACAATTCTTGAACTTGGAAATGGTAGATCATTAGCACGCGTATGGTACGACGCGTGATCTCAATTGCACATTTTGAAAAACTTGATTTGACCGTTTACCTACTGGTATTCAGAAACTATGGCGAGGGCAAAACGTGCAGGAATGTTGAACGCGGTGAGGTCTCGCGCGTCACTGTCTGGTAGCGTGGATGCACTGTCATGACATTGTTACCTTCGTATAAACTTGTACCATCAAATAACTTGAACTTCTAGTTTGTAAGTCGGTATTGTGTCGATTATGTAACAAAAAATATGGCTGGTGACTGCAAAACGCAAACGAGGTTGTAAACTCAAATAACGTTTAATGTTTTCCTCTGCACGTGGTAACTCAGTTTCGCTGTCATGAAAAATACTGCTTTATTTATTACATTGGTAAATATTTTTATTTGCGAAAAAATTGCAAACATGACACTGTTGATTATACATGATTCAAATGTAACGACGAAAAGGGTTTTGGAAGAGCGGGACATTTTCGAATTTACCTACAGTATACAGAAAAAAACTCATTCGGCACGTTTCCCGCGGCGAGAAAATTTTGATGGAAATTCAGAATTGTCTACTCGAAAAAAATTACGAAAATGTAATGGGAGCGACCGTACTTGGTGAAATTTCGAAAACGAGTTTCTTAACCTCCTTCGTGCTGGATCGAAAGCGATTATGGAAATTTGTCGCTAAGATCAGAAATGGGACTTTGCAATGACGTAATGACTACGGACAACAAACGAGAGAATAAGCGATGAGGTTTTCCCTGACCAATGTAAATAAACTTAAAAAATTCCATCCGTCTCTGAGACGGCCAGGTTAAAAACAAGCCGTACAATATATCATATCGATACTAAAATGCAACTACAAGGAATTCAAAGTATGCACATGGAGAGATGGCACTAACATGGTATTGTGACTATAAATAGATGTTACACATTCCCGCCCAACGCCGTAAAAATATGCAAAAATTGAATAAATTTCGTCTCTCGGGTCGTGATATCGATCGAAAGAAATTAGGTAATGCGGTGGAAAGGTTTTGACTATTTCAGTCTGTCTCGACTGCTTGTGGCATCTGCCAATGACGAAAGTGTATAGTTCAAGTTAACAGCAACAGAAAAGGTAATTGAAAAAAAAACTCCCATGAAATTAGTAATCAATAGCTGGCGCCATCCGCGGGGAACTTCCACTTGCGTTTCCTTATCAAGCGCCTAAGAAAATTGTTCAGTGAAATTTGCTTATATTCGAGGTATATAAATTAGGGCCTTTAGAACGCTTCCTACACGCATAAAATATTCCCAAATTGTTGCATTGACTGGTCGTGTTGCATCTATTCATTGAGATATAATATTATACCAAATTAATTGAACTTCCTAGATATATATACAATGACTATGAGACATCCCAAAACGATGCTCGCGGGTTTCATTTCAATTTTTTGGTGGTAACCAAGCCGACTGTTTGTTTTCAAATGGTATCACCTTACGTCATTCTAACGCCTCGCTGTCAGTTTCCCATTTCGACTCTGCAGTTTCGAATGGGCTAATCCTGGGAAACAACCAGGCTTTTCAAGGCACGATAACTGGAAGACAAACATTGTTTGCGCCATATTGTTCAAGAAAACAAACTAATAAATAGGAAGCGATACAGATGGACTAGTTTCGATGGCATGCAAAGTGTTTCTTGCGAGCAAGAATATCACTAAACAATATGCGCTGGAAACTAGCATCAAGAAATAGTGTAGGGACGTTATTATTTTTTAACATGCGCTGATGGCAACATTTCGTGAGCTGCGTAACAAACAAGGCTTTACGCATGGTCGTACGTTTACTAAATTTAATATATTTATATTCAAATATCACTGCGCGAAATCTATTTATAGCACGCAAAATGGTTATTTAATTTTTTAAATTAGACGCAATATGTCACAGGGTGAAAGTCCTTCTGGCATGTTTTAAAATATTGCATTTCCTACGATTCACAAAATGAAAATGAAGTCCCTTTGGAATCGCAACTATTTGACTGATGATGCTTACTGTAATGCACAAGCCATTACAGACCGTTCGACGCCGGCTCGCGTTATCCCTAATAAGGGCCGTCTCTGCGTGGGCGATGCAGCCAAGGCTTTCGCCCAAAATGTCTCGCGTGAAGATCATTTGTTTCGCGCCATTATACAACTGTGTCCTTGTTTTGAAGGTCTTGTCGCGTTGTTGAACGACTACTACGACCAAAATGAGAGATAATGAATAGTGTGACATATTTACTCGCCTAACAAAGGGCTGCGCGTCGCCATGCTACGGAATTCGCTCGGGATGTGGGAAACTAGTACGAGAATACGTCATTCGAATATTGGCAACGTTAGCAAGTAAAAGAGGTGACATTCCTGAGAATTCACGAATGGTATATAATTACTATCGTCTCGCGAAAAACCGACGCAAGTAAAAACGATAAAAAGATATTAAAAAAAGGGAGAAAAAAAACTTTTGACGACCTCGCCAGACGCGGTTGGCAGGACACGTCCCTAAAGCGTGAGCATGAGAAAGCGATGAATAAACTCAAAATTTTCCGTCGCACCTGTACCCAAATTCAAGCGGGAAAACAATGCATCTGGTGAAACCAAAAAGTGAACACCGAAACTATGACTTCACGATGCAAAAACACGAACGTATATTTTAGACTGTGTATGGAAATGCGTGGTATCGCGCGCTCTCGTCCAAATTACAAATGAATAGTTTTCATAATATTTGGCTGTAGACGAATGTATAAGTTTTACAGCACAATATATATCATAAGCGTTTCTTAGTATGCATCATAAAATCCTTAAAATAAATGGGTTTCTAAAGATTAATCAACAATGTAAAATGGGCAACATCAATACACTAGATGTTTCCGCTAGTCTACAATGAAATTGAGTGACTGTATCTCATGAAAGCAAATCAATCAAACCAGAGTTCAAAGATACAATATTTCAGTATGCCCATGAGGCGTATGTACTTAAAAACACCATTA